TGAAGCAGGAACGGCAGGTTTCCTGAAGAAAGAGGAAGTTTCCAGCCTGCAGATGTATAAAAATAGTTCAGACTACTCCTTATTTCAAAGCATAAAAGGTTTAAAGAATAAAATCTAAACATTTTGAGTAATTGGATAAAACCCAGAGTAAAATACTTAAATTAATAATAACTTATAATTAAGCCAATAATTAATATTGGTTTAATCTGACTTTCCTTCAGAAAACATCTGTAAAAACTTATATTAACATTATAATAAGAGTATCTAATAAGTTATGGTTATCATGATATTATAAATGAATGCTGACTCAAACACATAAATGAATGTTGGATTGAGCAGAAACTAAAAAAGTTTTAAATGTGATTTTGACGTTTAAGCTTGAGATGGTGTAAAAGCTTTAGTTGTAATTAAAGATCACTGATGTTGTGTTGGAGGTAGATGGAAGGTGAAAGGTCAGGGAAAAGCAGAAAACAGATAACAAGAGCATGAGAGGAATGAGTAATCCTGTGTTTTTGATTTTTCTTGATTGAAACAATGATTCATTACAAAAAGTGTTAATTCTTAGAAGTAAAAACAGTCAAATATAGAAAAGTCTTAATCATATATGCCGATTTATTTGACATGTATTTCATGTATTTTATTTTGTTTGACATGTTATGGGTCTGAGTAATCAGGCAGTGTCTGTATTTCAGTGGAATGATTTTTAGTAATCAAATGTTAAATTTTTGAGTTCTGGAAAATGTAAATCAGATTAGAGTATTAGGTTAAAATAAAAGGCTTTTGGGTGAGACATGCTGGTTGCAGCAGGGCAGAGAGTAAAGTAGAAACTAGAGAAGCTGCATGCTGTAGTAAGAAACAACGTTGGACCGGTTAATTTGGGACTTGACCGTGGGACTGACCTGAGTTGGAGATTACAGGGAAGTCCAAAACAAGAAATTGAACGGATGTTCGTGGATGAGCGGACAAAGAAAAGAGAAGTGAAAGTGGGCGAAGAGTTAGATGATTTCCAATGGCCACAAGGTCACAGGATTTATTTACGTGAACGGTCGAGTTGTCACGTATTCCATCCACATACACACATATACACACAAAAAGGGGAAGCAAAGGGTTCTTCGTTCCTAGTGTCGGAGTAGAGCCAACATGATGCAGAGGACAGCGCCCTGGAAACCACGGACAGGCTAAAGGCTCCGCACCACCTGAAAGGGACAAGACCCGTGTACCCACAGTTCCGGGTTTCCTGGTTCGACCGCTGTCCTGCTCTCTGCCCTAACGACCCCAACCCTGCTGCAACGGACTTGGTGAATGGACAAAGGTCACTGATTGACTGGGATCTGAGAGTCCAAAAGATAAAAAGGAGTGGATCTGCTTTGTTCCATTTCAAGGGGATTTTTGTCTCATCAAGACAAGATTCCAACCAAGAACTTCACAATTTCTGTTGCCAAGGGACATAACATCTACTGGGTATGAGTACAACTGCTTCCCAAAGCCTCTTAGGAAATCTAGTGATAGGATAGGGAAGGGATTGATAATGTGGTGGTGTTTGATATCTAAAATTGTTAATTGCAATTGGTGATTCATTTTGAATTAAGCTGTTGTCACTTAACCCTGTATAAAAATACATATTAAATTTTGCTGGTGATTGTGGACATTGAAATTAATTCTGAGTCAGGAGTTAGTAAGGTTGCTTCTGAATTATGATAAAATCTATGTACACAGTTCTAGGAAGATGGCGGCTCCATAGGTTTCTTTGACGATGAGTAAATAATCACCCTGGGGTTCAAGCTAAACCACTAAAATGTATCTAGTCTGCAACAAGTGCTCGTTATTAAAAGGGAGAGAGCTGCCGTTAACAAAAGTGATTATTGAGGTTATGCAACTGTGAGAGCTACTCGTTGATTGCCTTAATAATTGAAAAGGGTGATAACTTTTGGATTGGAGGCAGTTAGAGGCTAGACGAGTCCTCCTGCCGCTGGCTTAAACAGAATGTCTTCTAGACTATATGGAGAAAAAGCTCTATAAGACCGAAGGGCCCATTTCAAATGGACTAAAAGGATCTTTAAAATTCATTCTGCTACATGTCAGTAGCTATTATTAAAGCTTAAAATTACTACTACATTTTGACATTTAAGCAAATGCATTAGATTAACAAAACTATGTATTTATGTGTAATTCTGCTTTTACGTAGCAGGGAGCCCAAAGTGCACAAATATGTCTGATGAGTTGTAAAAAATGTAAGAAAACATGATTGGATTAGAAGTTTTGTGAGGAAAAAAGACAAAAAGAAAAAGCTACAAAATATTCTCATTTCTATTTTTTTTATGAAACATTTAGAGATTTGTAGATTTAATCTCCATAATCATGGTTGAAGTCAAAATGTTTCTTTAATCCTGTGTTAGAAACTCTGAATCCTGAGACATGGCTGGCCTTTGATTAATCTTACTACTAATATATTAGTAGTATTTTTAAAATATATTAAAAGTATATTTTTAATACTATGATAGAATTAGTGCACTCAATATGGAATATTTTTGGAATATTTCTCTTGAATTCTACATAAAAAAAAGTATACTTAAAGTACACTAAATACAACTTTAAGTTGTTCCAAAAAAGTATGTTGAGTATACTAAAGTATACTAAAAGTTGTCATTTAATACTATTTAAATACTACTAAACTATACTAAGCCCAAAAAAAATTGTTCCAAAATAGTACAGTTTAAGTTCATCAATCAAAGTATTCTAAAGTATGTTAAAATTTAGTTTACTAAACTAAGTTTACTAAAGCATACTTTTTTTTACTTAGGGCAATTTAACAGAACCTCCAGTCTCAGAACAGAAAGCTGATTACTGTGGTTCTTATGCTAAAGCATCTTTACGTCCAAAATGTGATTTATTATAATTTTATTTCACAAACTTGTGTTAAAAAGATCAGTGATTTATTACCAAAATAAAATCATCACTGTAAAAAAACAGTCTGAACAACTGTTGACTCATTTCTTCCTTTACATCTTTATTTTTGGAATTTTTTTTCTATGTTACAACAACTGGAGTCAGAAGTTTACATACGCTCATCCTGGGATGGAGCATTATATTGCTTTTGGGCTTCACACTAATTTATTCAAACAATTGTTTTCAGGTTGAAATGATGAATTTCAATTCATTGTAGATGGAAAGTGATGATGAGTTTTGTACTTATTTTAAAGGCTTTATATCCAGACAAATCTCAACAAATTTGAATATTGAGAAAAAGATCATTATTTTCCACCAGTCATTTCAGAAACATAAATTCATATGTTCCTTTATTAAAAGGTTTTGTTAAAAGATTTTGTTAAAAGATTTTTACAAAAGAGAAAACCTTTTGGGTTTCTGATAAATCACTGCAAAAGTTACAACCTACAATCTGAACACACCTGATTTTATTACATATAAACTGAGTTGTTGATGGACTTTGACCCAGAATCTCATCTTCCTGTTACTTTGATCCTTGTTTGATCATAAATGAGTTTCTGCAGATCAGGTACGTACTGAAAGCTTCTAAACATTATATCTGACCATTTTTCTCTTAAAAGTTCTTAATCTAGTCTGAAATATTTTCTAATTGTTCATATTATTGTTTGAAAGTCAATTTTAGTCAAATTGAGTGTTAGATTATGAGTTTATTTTGACTGATAAAAACTTTTGAAATTTAACATTGAAAACTAACAAATATAATTTGTTTAAGCTTTAAACTATTTAAATGTAGATGCTTTTAAAATGACGACTGTAAATTTAAACATTTGTCTTTGGACTTTACCGCTGATTTCCTGGTTCTGGTTCTTTTGACGACTGTCGATAGTTTAACTGCTCCTGCTGCAGGTTTGTCTTAATCAAAATGTCGGGTAAATGAAACAACATGTTACATTTTCTCTCCTGTATTATACCTTTCATTACTTTTTTAACAAAGATATGACTTTGTTGTTGGTGGTGGTGGTTTTAAATCATTTTCTAAAGTTTTAACTTTTCATTGTGACTTAAGGAAGTGTTTTATCTTCCTGTATTTGAAAAACTTAAAGACTTTGCTTTTTGTGTTGAGAACCTTTGGAAGATTTTAGATGTTAGAAAGGAGCTTTTTACTGCTAATAAATATTTATTTAATCTCTTCTTTTAGGGTGAAAGTTTGCATGAACCACTATGTCTTAATTTGAAGTGTTGATTTCTCATTCAGTGTTCAAAAACATTGATATTGACATTTTCAATGATTATTTAAAAATATTCATTTGGAAAGAAAAAGTTGTTATATTTGAAATCCTTTATGACAAAGAAAAATTACAGCTGAAAATCACAGACGCTGCATAAACTATATTTATTTACATAGTCGTCATGTCATTTTGATAGAAACCCTTTTAACACTAAATTAATTTAAAACCATACTCTCTGTGTATGCTACATTAACAGGTCACTTCATAAGGAAAAGATGTTTCCTATGAATCTTCTCTCCATTATTGCTGGGACTGGCTTCCTGCTCCTCATTTTCACCTGCAAAGGTAATTTCTACACAAATTTACTGGAATCTGTTTAAATTAATTTTACACTGTAAGTCTGACTGTGATATTTATCTGTTTCCTCCATGATTCCAGGATGAGAAATGTTTGCTTTAGTCAACAGAGTTTGGAAAAATCAGGACATTTAGGCAACAAAAACGTTTTTATTTAAGGGCTGAAGATTCAACTCAATGAAATGAATGAAATCAGGTAGAGCAGTTCTGTTGACCAACATGTTACCAGCAGTCATTCATGTTTGTTTTTATTGTTTCCTTCTTCTTCTTCTTTAAAGTATTTTATTATTTTATGCAAGTTTGGTGAACAACAAATTGCTGAATAAACACCAGCTGCTATATTTATTTACACCTTAAACTTTTGCACTCTTGGCAGTTTGACTCATTCATCTGTCTGACATTAATCTCACTAATTAGATAGTAGCTTTGTGTTATAAACTTAAACTTTCAAAACAAAAATGAGCTAAAACCAGCCAGTTTCTAAAACCTGTTAAAGTTGTAGAGGCTCTGAAAACAGATAAACAGAAACTGATGTGAACTCTTAATGTAACAGACAGAAAATAGTTTAATATCAATGTGTGTGTCATCACACACTTTGACTGAATAAGTGCTAAACCACAAATAATAAAAGTGGTGTTTACTATGCTAATAAGCATACCAATTAATAATGTGGTAGTTAGAGGTTGGAAATAATTACAACCACTAGAGGGCAGCAAAACCGGCCTTGATACATCGGGGATATAAACCAACATAAAGTGACTATTATGTTGGTTTGAGGACAAATTCCCACTACAGTTGAACTTCCTCATCTTTTGTCATCTTCAGGTGAGGCTCAGCAGACGGATTTACCTCAGTCAGTTACTGTGATGGTCGGTGAGGACGTGGTTCTGCCGTGTTTCCTGAATCCTCCTAAAGATGCGACTAAGATGACAGTGGAGTGGGGCAGACCCGACCTGAAACCCAGATTTGTGTTTGTGAATCTCGATGGTAAAGAATATTCAGCCGACCAAAATGAAGCCTTCAGGGGAAGATCGTCAATGATCCCCGAAAATCTGAAACATGGAGACGTTTCACTGAAACTCTCTGATGTCAGAATATCTGACAGTGGAAGATACAGATGCTACTTTCCCAGAGAGAAGAAGGAATATTTCATTGAGCTTGTTGTTGGTAAGAAAATAAATCACAACATACAGTATACAATTAAAACCATTTTCTTCATATTAATGTTTACTAAGGAATATTTGCAATGACATTTTAACTAAAAACTATCAGTGTTGTCAAATGCTTTACCTCTTGTACTAAAATCAGCAAGTTGAAAGGATATTTTTAGATAAGTTTGTTTAATTATCTGATTTTGAATCAAAGTCACTGAAAGTGTCTGTTGCTATAAAGTCAAAATAAAATCAATTTAACATTTGAACTCAGATTGTCTGTTATAATCCGTAATGTTTGAAAAGTTTGAGGAAAATGAGAGAGATGTGCTGAATGAAGCTGTAAGGTTATCAATACCAAGTTTATTTAAAATGATTGATTAAAGATGTAAAAATGATTGAAAAGTATTTTAACATAATTAAAACATTTTGAAGTTTAAAACTGAACTGTTACATTTTGAAACCAACATGGGATGAAATAATGGAATAAATTTTACTTGAAATAAAAAGTAATCTACTGGACATCACATGCTGACTGTTCATAACTACTTCACACAAAACTCACTTCAAAACAAACAAAAAACAAAAGAAACATACACAGCATTTATAATATGACGTTCGTTTGGCTCTTCAGTTCATTTACAGCTTAAATGTAACATTTAGCTGATCGTCACAGTATGAATGTTAAACGATGTGATTCTTCATCTTCCTCTGCTCTCTGACCATCAGGCTCCGCCTCCTCACCTGGTGCCAGTTTATCTGGACTGGATGTCAGCAGCAGTGGAGTGATGCTGGACTGCAGCGCTGCAGGCTGGTATCCAGAACCTGAGATGTTCTGGCTGGACGGAGACGGAAACATCATGTCTGCTGGAGCTGCAGAGAAAAGCACAGATCCTGATGGTGTTTACACTGTTAGCAGCAGAGTGACTGTAGAGAAGAGAAACAACAACAACTTTACCTGCAGAGTCCAGCAGAGAGACATCAACCAGAGCAGAGAGACACACATTCATGTTCCAGGTGGGAAAATAAAACACTTTAACACTTTAACAGTTCAGATGTTGTAGTTTTTACAGGAAACTCTTCATGTTTCAGATGGTTTCTTCGTTCCTCAGCCTGACTGCAATAGTTTGAACATTTTTGCTGTGATTCTGGGCCTCATGATTCTCATTGGAGCTGCTGGTTTTATCTGGAAATGGAGGAAAACTGAAATATGTGAGTTAATTATTAATGTGTTTTATTGTTCAATGAGACGTGATATTTATCCATGTATGTAAGATTTTTAAACAGACCCAGAATGTCTGAAATATTTGTTTTGCTAATCAGAAACTCATTGATCCAAACCATTAATCTTGTTTTTCTTGTTTCTGCAGCAAAGAAGAAGCTAAAAGAAGAAATGAATGAGGAGAAAAAGCAGCTCATGACAAAAGAAAAGGAGAATTTGTCTGAGAAGGAATCAAAACTTGAGGAAGAGATAAAACATAGAAATGAGGATCAGAGAATCATTGATCAGCTGATTGAAGGATTAATGGAGATGTCAGAGGAACTGAAGGATCAGAGAAAAAAACTCAGTGATCAAAGAGAGAAGACAGAGAGAATGATTGAGGAGGATGAGGAGAAGCTTAACTCAGTTATTGATGAAGAAAGAAACCAGACGGGGAGCGTGATGGAGAAGAGAGCAACAGGATACTTAAAACTGAAGGAAATCATGACAGAGAGTCTAGATAAAATGGATAAGAGGAAACAAGATCATCAAGATGTGGAAATGATGACAGAGAAACTAATAGAGAAAACATGTAAAGAGGTTAAAATGCTGAAGGAGAGGAAACAGGAAATAGAGAAAAATGTAGAGAAAATTAAAAAACAACTTGAAGAAACGAAGACATGAATGTGATTTTAGTTCAGATATTGTTGTTTTTAATTTCATCTGTTTCTGAGACAGAAACAGATGAAATTCAGTTGTTTTTACATGATATCATAAAATATGTCAAGTTTCATCTCAGCAGATTTTCAGAATTTTCATTAAAGAGTTTTTTTTTCTGAGTAGAAAATATAAGAAACTTTCTCAGAACATGATGTTCAGAAAGGAACTAAATTACAGCAAATGTTTGTAAAGCTTGTGATGTTTTTTATTTTTCTATTCTATGAATGTATTTCTAAGTTTTTTATATTTTCAGTTTCAGGGCATAAAGTGAAAGATGATCTAATTCATTTATATCAGGAAACCAATTTAATTTAATTGACATCTGATGTATCCACTATGTTGACCTGTAAAGGTTTTACTGTGGGAGAAAAAACAAAACATTAATTAATGTATAAGATGTAAAAGTATCAATAGCTACAACTTGTTTTATTTCCTAATGTGAATTCCATTTTTACAAGTTTTTTTTAATTATCTTTTATGTATTTACCAATGTTATTTTTTAAAGTGACTTTTTCTTCAAATCCTGACAGAATGAATCAGGAACATTGAGGTCAATCAAACTGAGATTAAAGTCTCAAAATATTCAGTAGTTTTCATTTATAACAAACTAAAATAACTGTGAAAAAACAAAAAAATTCATTTAAAATCTCTTAACATTGTCAGATATACTTAGATTATTCAAACTACATGATATTTGTAGCTCTGATTGTTGTGATGAAAGTCATTTTAAAATAAATTTAAAAAATAGTTGTTATATCCTCACAGCTTTTAGTTACAGTGACATAAACTCAGAGTCTAACATTTTATTTGACCTGAACACATCCTGACAACAACAACAACAACAACAACAACATGGCTGCAGGAGACAAAACCCCGTCCAGTCCAGTCCAGTCCAGGTCTTGTACTGACCTGTACTGAACCCATAAGGGTTTTGGAAGAGAGATTGGAATTTCACAGTACATGAACAAAAAACCAAAATATGTTTCAATATAAATGAAATACAAGTGAGAAGTTATGACAATAAATGAATGTGCAGCTGACTGTTTATTTTTGATTCATGCATTTAAAGTAAAGATTAAAGATTTTATTTGATCTGCAAACACGAGTTAAAGACAATCAGGTCAAGTTATGGAGAATAAAATACATTGTATGTAAAATAAAATGTAAAATATTGAGAACAAATGTTTCAATTAATTAAATCCATTTTGATTATAAAAAGAAATTCAGCTACCAAAAAAAAAAAAAAAACACATTTTAAGTTTATTAACATTTTCTGGCGATGATTCCATTTTGCATCTCAAAAGTTAAAGCTGTCAGTTTATTTCCTGTCAGTGTGACGTGGTCCGCCCTCTTCATCCTCCTCCTCCTCTGACAGAAATGGACTGACTCTGATCTGTTTCCATTCTGTTTCTGATGGGAAACAAAACAAAACTTAGTTTGTTCTCATTAAATCTCTATTTATGGATTTCTCTTTGTGGAGGATTAATGTTTGTTTGAAGTTTCATATTGATTAATTTTGTGTCCCCTGAGTTTTTAATTAATATTCTAGAAGTGAACCTGCTGCAGCAGCTGCACCTCGTCCGGCTGCTGCAGCAGCAGCTGCACCTCGTCCGGCTGCTGCAGCAGCTGGGTGTATTTATAATAACTTTCACTGATGTAGAAAATAAACAGAAGCTCGTTCTGCTGAAGCCTGAGGTTTTAGTTTGAGGTTTTAAACCGAGAAGTTAAAAATTCTCCCCTGTGCTTCACAGACATACATCTGAAGATAGTTTAATAGACTGTTTTTAAAATTAAGCACTGAGACCAGATTACCACAACCTGCACTAAAGGTTTAAAGTTGTTCATTAATGATATTTAAAACTTCTAACTTAATTTTTACTCCATAGTTTGAATACATCAAGATACTGAAGGAAATTATGCAGAAGAAAACCAAAACAATAACTTTTTAAGATGCCAGCATCATTTGCTGATAGACATGCAGTCAGTAAATATCTAACCCAGAAATAAATGATTTTATCACCTTTCTGCAGCTTGTAGATCATCATTCCAGTCACCAGAGACAACAAGGCAAATATCACGACTCTAACAGCCGATTCCAGGCTGAAGGCTTTGGGACATTGAACAGGAGGAGTTTCTTCATTTGGTCCTGAAAGTATATTTAGATATTAACATAAATATGACATCAACATAACAGGAAGTAGAAATCAAGACAAACTGAGTAAGAAAGAATCATTAACCTGTCACAGTGGGACTCCCTTCACTCGGTGCTGAATAGTAAATTTCAGATATTAAACTTTAAATCACCAACATGAGACAATAAGAACCAAGCCAAGCCAACCGACCTGTGAGTGTCTGGTGAACAGCCAACCAGCTCTCAGGAGATTCTCCGGCTCCAGAGATGCTGCACCTGTAGTTCCCTTCATCGGCCTTGGAGACGTTTCTGATGGTCATGTTGCTGTTATAGCAGGTCATGAGATGGAGGCCATCTTTATAGAAATCTCTGATGTAACTCAGCTCAGTTTGCTTGTGGATACAAGGAAGCGTCACGTCTGATCCTTCAGCTACGGGTTGGACCGGAACCTCCAGGATCACCAGACCAGCTGAAGAATAAATAATTTATTCATAAAAAACATAACACAACACATCAGGAGGGCTTTCTTCTGTTCTTTAACAATGACACACATTAAACAATAAACAATGATCTAGACCACTAAACAATATTTCTACTCATATGCTTTCTGTCCCACACACAAGTGTACCGATACATTCATACAAACTAAACTCACTTATACATGTTCATACTAAATATCCTCCAATCTAGCATGTTTGACAAGACAAAACCCTGATTTATCTTTATAAGATGAATTGAAGAAAATTGGGTTTAATTGTCTGTTTTCAAATCCAAAAAGTATGTATCAATCAATCAATCAATCAATCAATCAATCAATCAATCAATCAATCAATCAATCAATCAATCAATCAATCAATCAATCAATCAATCAATCAAATTTTATTTGTATAGCACATTTCCTCAGCAAGGCATTTCAAAGTGCTTTATATAATAAAAACAGCATGTGACAGAATAAACAGTGAGAGATTTAAGAAAAAGATTAAAAAAAGATAAAAACATTAAAACCCTTTTTAACTGGGACTCTGGGCTTCATCTCATCTTCATGTACAGTGCATTCAAAGGTAGAAATATAAAAAACAGAATTTTAAAGTAATTTTACTTTATATATAAACTTCCAGCTGTTGAGTACATGTCATGTTCATTTTTAATCTGAACTCTGTTCTGGATTATTCACCTGTAATAGAGACGCTGATCGCCCGGCTCTTCTCCCCCGTCTCGTTTTCACACCAATAATCTCCACTGTGTTTTTCCAGGGCCGGTTTGATGCTGCAGGACGGAGCTGCAGAGCTGCAGGGCTCTGAGGAGTTTGTTGGTCTGGACTTATTAAACTCCCTCATTACTCTCCAGACATTAGCATCGTCTGTCGGCTCACACTGGACAGTAAAGGACTCGTACTCAAAGAACTGGAGCCTCCTTGGAGAAATAGACGGGAAAACTGCATCTGAATGGAAAACAATGGGAAATGTTTAGAAAAAAGCTAAACATTGACTAATGTGAGACAGTTAAACTGATCAGGTTAATGTCCAATCTCTTTTTTCTCAATAATTAAAACCAAACTCGGCTTAAATTTTACTTTTTGTAATAACATATTTGTGATGTTAAACTCACCAGTTTTTTCAGCGAGTTCAGTTTGTTGAGTCAGCAGAAACAACATGTTCATCACTGCAAACACATTAAAATTAGATGAATATAAAAATAAATTATTTATAAAATATAAAAATATAAACTGATAGAAGCTGCTTATTTAACGTTGTACTTACAGAAGCAGACAGATGTGACCTCCATGATGCTCACCGTTACTGGAGTGCAGATCTTCACACCGACACGTAAACGTCACGCTGGTCAGGACTTCCTCTTCCTGTCTGGATTATTTCAGGGCTCATTAAAACTGAATCTGTATTTCTAGAAATAACTGAGCAGCCCACTGACTCTGTGCTGCACCTTTTAAAACACCAACAGCTCTTCACTCTGCACACCTCAGTAAAATGCAGTAGAAATCAGCTGTTGCTCTGCAGACGTTTCCTTGAAATGATCGACTTTCTTCCTCCCTGCAGCCAGTTTCAGTCAGACTGCTGGGCTTGGTGAACAGTCAATGCACGTCATGCAAACATTTTATCCTTTAGGGTTTTTTGTGAAAAATCAACACTATTGATCACCGTTCACATTCGTCTGTTTTATGAAAACATTTGAAAGATATTAAACACAGCATGTGGAGAACAGCAGCAGCAGCAGCAGCAGCAGCAGCAGCAGCAGCAGCAGCAGCAGCAGCAGCTGCAGACACAGGAAGTTGAACCAGTCGTAGTTAAAGGCCTTTAACTAGTGGAGGACCAGAGTCTGATACTCAGTCACTGGAGTAAATACAACAGCTTCAAACACCATGACAGACAACCAGCAACATAAAGTACATTTAGTCATGTGACATCATTAAAATGATCAATACATCAATATGGAGTTCAGTCAAATTACATTATAATCCTGATGGCTTCTTTAGAGATTTTCATATTTTAGGATAGACTTTCAAGAGATTTATTTTTCTACCAACAGCTTCAGATCAGGTGATGTACAGTTTGGTCTTTCTCAGTCTAGGGGGCGCTGTAGAGGAGTTTGGCCCTCTTTTGTTTCCATTAAAAACTTTTAACTTCATGCTGTGTGAAGTTTTGGTAGATAAAATAATCAGGAAGAATAAAATATATTTTACCATTTGTAGATAATAAAGGCAGCAAAGCAGCTCAATGAACTGGTTTGAATTAAGACGTGAGAAAGGATCACATGTTCAGCCTGTTTCACAAATTATTTACTTTGAGCAGAATTTAAGTCTGTTAGAAAATATTATGTAAAATAATATGAAACCTGCCTTCTGTTCTGCAGATTTACAATAGAAATAATAAAGAGAAATAAAAAAGAAATGAATAAAACAGACATATTGACCACAGTTGTCGTGTTTCTGAGCACCAAATGGCTGCCAGCGGTGCTGACCTTTGACCTTCAAAGCTTTAAAATGGCAACAGATTCATGTCCTAAGAGAAAAGTACATAAATTGAAGAGAACATCAGATGTAGACAAACTTTATTCTGTAGATCATTGACACGTTCACTTCCTGGTCTAACTCTGGTTGAACTGGACCACACCTGTTTTACTGTCATTTATCAGAGACCTTTGACCTCTGCAGTTTATAGAGAACAAAGGAGACGATGCATTCAGAAAGGTAATCTTACTTTTCTCCAATGTAAATTATTCTACTTTACTTCCTAATGTGTTAAACTTTGTTTTTTTTCCATCATATGTTTTATCTCCAGGATGATTCTCGTTCCTCAGAGTTTCTCTCTAAAACCTTCGATCAAAGCCGTTGTGTTTGGTTTCCTGCTCCTGGGATTCACCTGCAAAGGTAAAATACTGCAGACAGTCCTGCCTGCTGAGAGAAAGAAACATTAGTTACTGTTAGCTGCCAAATGAAGATCTGAGTTAGTTTAGGAAATGAGACACTTGGGAGCAAAAATCTCTGAGTGAGACAATTTATAAAACTTTTTATCTTATAATAAAATCTCAGACTGTGTTTTCCTTCCCAGGTCAGTCCCTGCAGACGGAGCGTCCTCGCCTCGTTGCAGCGATGCTCGGTGATGACGTGGTTTTACCGTGTCACCTGGGAGGTTCTGTGAACCCCGATGAGTTGGTGCTGGAATGGGGGAGACTGGACCTGAACCCCAGATTTGTGTTCATGTGGTTTGAAGGGAGTGAAAATGTAAATGAAAAAAACACGGCCTACAAGGGAAGAACGTCTCTGTTCACAGACAGACTGAAAGACGGAGACGTTTCTCTGAGACTGACGG